TACTTCTGTTGGCTGAAAAGTACCCTGGGAAAAAATGACAGGACACTAAGGACATCATGAACCAATAATGTTGGGAACATCTGACTTACAGAAATGTGTTTAGTACAAGTTACACTTACCAATCATGACAAATTTCAGATTCAATAAAATTAATCTATTTGCTTGCAGATTTATATATATTTTTGTCCAGTCATAAAAACATTCATTAGCTTCCTACCTACTCAGCAATTTTATCCCAATAATGTAAGTTTTCAATAAAGACCTAGCTACCAAAATGTGTAAAAATCTTAGCTGATTCTACAATCAACTGCTCTCTCCCCAATTAATGAGTTACTAGAATTTTTGGCATTTTTCATTATCTTTACATTTAAATTCTGATTTTACCTTTTAGGAAAGTATACATTGAAGTATTAAATTTGTCTTTTTCCAGTTTATCTACAAATTGCTTGTATTTTTAGAAGCCAAGATTTGAGTGGTCTTTTGACACTCAGAAGCCACCCCTGGAGACACAGCTTACTTCTTGGAATGCCTGGCCTCGAGTCCTGGCTCTGCTCCTGATTTCAACTTCCTGCTAGTGCATAGCCTGTGAAGTAGTACACAAAGTTGGTTCAAGTATCTGGGTCCACTGAGGAGACCACATTAAGTTCTAGACTTTGATCTGGCCCAGCACTGGCTATTGTAGGCATTTAAGGAGTGAACCAGTTGCTGGGAAATCTCTGTCATTCTTCTGCCCACGTATAAATGGATAAGACTAACACAGTGGCTCTCGATGAGGAGCTGTCTCACCTCCTAAGGGACACCTGACAACATCTGGAGACACACTGGATTGCCACAACAAGAAAGGAAAGCGCTGCTAGCATCTGGCCAGTAAGGACCGGGAAGCTGGCTGAGCATTTCACAAAGCAGCGGAGATCACTATACAACAACTATCCAACACCTCCACGTCTCTATAGATCTGCCTGAGTGGGAAATGCGTAGCCTTTACAATTTCCACACAATCAAATACTCTGAAAGCTCAGAGATTTTAGAAATAATAAATGCTGAAACTAACATCCAGCGGGACTGCATGAGTCCCACAGGTCAAATAGTTAATGGAAGATCATCTGTATTTCGGGACTGATGGTGTAGTGAACAAAGAGGTCTTTGTTTCCAGCTTAGTTTCAGTTCTCTAGCAGGAATAATAAAAGGAATCCCAACAAAAGCATTCCCTCAACCTCTCTAACAGAGTAAAAACCCAAGGATAGCCCCACTGCATGCAAGGTATTTCAAATCCTTCCTGAAAACTAAGCAGCATATATTCAAAAAATTGTACTTTAAAATATATTTTTTAAATCCATGACTCATAAGCTCAAATAATTTCAGACTTAAATGGGGAAATATTCATATGAACAGTCAAAACAAAATAAACGTAAAGAGTGTGTGTGTTACTGGCACACTGAAACAGTAATTAAAACATTTGCAACACGTGAGGCTGTTCGGAACATTGATCAAAAGTTAAGATACTTTTAATCACAAGAAAGTGGTGGCAAACTAATTCAGAAAATGGACTATCAACTTGGCGGTTGTCTTAACTTGTTTTCTAAAGCTGTGTCTGATGACAGAAAAAAATGTCATATGTATAAACTGTTATTGGTGACAATTATGTCATTAAAAATCTCATTCAAAGTGGAGATTTCAAATATACAGTAACACAATATATTCCAAAACTAAGGCAAATTGGAATTCAAGTATGTTTCCAGTAGACAGAACCCTAAGATCAGAATAATTTCTTTTAAAAGTAAAACTAATTTGTCATTTGTTTTTTATACATGAGAATTCTGGATGAAATGGCTTTTCTAAGTTTCACACAGACTTTATTCATAATCAAAATCTTCAAATAAAAGAACTTTCACAATAGTAGCTTTTGTGCCTAAAATTTATTTAGCACTGGGCAGCAAATTTTCCTCCCCACTCGTCACCAAGACACATACAAAAAGCTCAATTAAACTTAAGAAAAATTAATTTGACTCATTTTACTTTATAACAAACAAATTTATTTATATGTACTGCCACTTAATTATAACAGTAACAATCCAAGGTAACAGCAGAAAACCAGGAAAGTCACATTTAAAGACACTAAACAGCCAATCCCAGATGAATTTGCAAATAGAGGAAAAGGGTATCTACTGCCTCGCTCCTCAAGCCCAGCCCCTGTCCACAGCATCATCGTACCCACCCAGAAGAGCAGGCACCCAACCAAAGGCTCTTTCCCACTCAGTGGATGAAAAGAAAAAGTTTTTAAACTAGCCGAGTTTCATTACAGCAACTGCCAACTTAAAATAATCACCTCTGCCTACAATTCTTCCATTAACAATCTCTTCCAAAATCCAACACAAGACAAAGCTTCATATCCATTCATGAATATGAAGTCTTACAAATAATCCAATTATACTATTCAGATTTGCAGTCCCAAAATTTTATCAAAAAGTGTATTTGTTTTGCTAAAGTTATAAAGCTTTTCAATGCTATACAACTGCTGTAAAACTCATCACCATATGTGACTCTTCAACATTATTCTTACTATGAATATACGTGTACTAATTGCTACTGCTCCAGTTTTATTTCATTTCTACATTTCCTCTTTATCCCCTGGTGGCTGTCAAATCATCACACAACACCTAGAGCTGATGATCAAAAGGATTCTGGCTGGCTCTGTGAATTCCATAGGGACCTGCTGTGAGAGCCCACACCAAGCATGAGAAGGCACAGTAAGAAGACAAAATCATTGTGCCAAAGCACAATGATTATAAACAAGGAAGCCAAAATTCTAACCACTTAGAAAACCCAAGTCCACTATATATTTAAAGCTAAATATAAAATCAGGAAATAAAACTCCAAGGACATGTTCATTATAAATCAGGATAAATCAGCTAAAGTTGTCAAACCTTCAAAGTTGAGAGCCACCATTGCAGCGTAACAGGATAAGCTGCAGCCTGCAACACAGGTATCACACATGGGAAGCTGGTTAAAGTCCCAGCTGCTTCACTACCAATCCAGCTCCCTGCTAACATGCCTGATAAAGTAGCAGAGGATGGGCCAAAGCCTTGAACCGTCACACCCACAAGGGAGACCCAGAAAGGGCTCCTGGGTCCTGCATTGTCCAGCCCTGGCCATTGGGGCCATTTGTGAACCAATGGATGGAAGATCTCTAGCTCGTGTTTCATCCCCACCCCCACCCCTGCTCGTTCTCTAATTGTGCCTTTCAAATAAATAAAATAAATCAGGAGGAAAAAAAAACGGGGGGGTGGGGGGAAGGTCACAGGTGTTGGCCCAATCCTATTCACAGCATCCCCAAACCACAGTATGCTCAAACCCCTCATATAAAATCATGCTGATTTTGCATGTGATTTCTTATCCCCTTGTGTGTTTTAAATAATCTCCTGATTACTTATAACTCCTAACACACTTATTTTCTCCTCAATCATGGTGAGTTACCTGACTCCCTCACTATGTCTTCTCAAAAAACCGTCAGAACCAAGAGATTCTTGGCCAAAAAGCAAAAAAACACTTTTGCCTCATTCACCAAAGCATTCAGATAAAAACTGCAAAATAAAGCCACAAGAATATACTGAAGAAGAACCAAGCTGGGTCTACAAGGAATTGTACCTGAGATAGTACACATATGTATGCTGAACGAAAAGTCATACCTAAGCATATTAGGCTAAAGATACAACAGTCTCAACAGCTGGACATGTGTGAGAGTAAGCCTGATAGCTGGCTTAATAATAAACACATGAAATGTTCTGAACAAAACAAAAACCTAATACAATGTAAATGCTACTATGCTATATTATTTAGGGAATAACAAGAAAAAAACAGTTTGTGTAATAAACACAGTTTTGAGCATCTTCAATCCACTGTGCCGGAATCCAAGCATGTGGAAGCCACGCACACATGGGCTGACTGCATATAAAAGAAAAACCCAAAATCCTACTCCACCAATCAAATTCTCCATAAATGGAACCACACTTTTCACATCACACACAGATATCTATGTACTATATTTTATAAATTCTAAAAGATTTTAAATGTATTAAAACAAAAATATTTCAAAGTTCACAATGCTTTGGCAAAGAAAACTGCCAATGGCTAACTTACCCAGTGGGGGGAATGGGTAGGCAGGGTAGTATTTGTTAATGAAAAGATTCAAAAACCACTCCATTAAAGCTTTCAGACAAAAATCTGGGATCAAAGATTATCAAAGTTAAATCTCTGATAGGAACTAACAAAGTTTAGAGTATAAAAGCTCAAAAGTGGGTAATTCTATAAAGGAAGAAAAGGCCTAACCTTAAAGACTGCTCTATAAGCTTTCAGCAGTTGTAATCTATGGCTAATCACAAGCAGGATCAAAATATTGTACTATGCTCTGTGAAATACAATGATCATCATCCACTTAGGATCCCAACTAAGCCTGATGCTACACTGAAAGTTACGCGAGATAATCATTTTGCTTCTGGTTTGACTTTTCCAAAATTCCTTGGTTGTTTTGTATCAAGGACTGCTTTTATATCCACATGTACATATCATGGCTCAAAAGTTTAGGTTTAGAGAAGCAATTCAAAGTCATGATATTTTCCATAGCCAAGGGCATGTTAACATACTTCAAGTAACATCAATCAATTCAACACATATTATCACTATTTTAATTCACTATAGGAAACAAAAACAAAGATAAAGAGCAAAAATAATTAAAGTTACCAAACAAGGTATCTCAGTTGCAAATAGCGAGGTGATAAAAGACATAAATGATTAGATGCAAATATATTAACAATCATCTTCCTAGTCCAATTTTTAATATTAAACAAAATAATACAATGTTCTAGAACACCACAATCCAGGAATCTACTGCTGTATACCTAAAACTGTCAATATTATGATATAATGAACAAGCAGTGCTCCAACTGTTCTCCAAAGAGAGCTGTGGTCAGCCACAGAAGACCAGGAGCCTTCCCAGCACTCACCTTTTGTTAACTGGCTTCTCATCCTTTTCATAAGGTCGGACAAACCACTTCCCAATCCTAACGAAGTTCTTATCCATTAGGCACCTACAAAGATCATAGCAAGAATTATTTTATACAGTTACAAAAAGAAAGTCACAAGTCACAGAAAATAAAAGCATCATCAATTAACATGTGAAATGTTTTCATATTACTTAAAATATTTATATTGTACTTATTGAAACAATATCTGGCTTTGGGGATAGATTTTTTACATGCATGTCAAAAAAATTTTAAGTAAAATATAGAGAAATATCCCTAAGACTTTTTACATTTTAAAACTGCTTCAAATGAAATTTTATTACTACATGACTTGAATTCACATGCCATCAATAAACTAGGTAGTCATTAAAAGTATCCTAGAGACAGTCTTCCAAAGAATCCCAATTTGAAATTCTTAATGTATTAATGCTCTATTTTATTTTTCTGCCTTGGCCCATGATATGCAATCTCTTAGCAAAAGTCTCAGTGGAAAACAAATAAGTTGCATCTATGTAAATGTTTTCCTCAATAACATTTATGTGCAGCTTCTTTGCTCAAGCGTAAAATGTGTTTAAGTGTACAATGTGTTCAATATCAAATCAAAGGGTACTTTTTTTGAAGACACCATACGTGGCCACTGACAACTCTCCACAAGGTCAATTAGTTCCTAAATGGCAGTAACTTCTACTGGCTGAATGGGATTCCTCTTGCAAAGCAAATTTGGAACTTATATCATGAAAACGAAATTAAATTCAATTGGTTTTCCCTCAAAAAGAAAGTGAGTAAAAATAATTTTTAAGTGGGTGCTTACTCCCACTTACTCCACTTCTGCTCCACCTCCCTGCTAACACTCCCGGGAAAGCAAAAGAAGATGGACCAAATGCTTGGGTCCCTAGGCAGATGCAGAAGAAGCTACTGGCTCTTGGCTTTGGCTGGCTTAGGCCCAGCTGTTACAGCCATTTGAGGAGTGAACCAACAAGATTCTCTCCTCTTTCTCTCTGTGTAACTCTAGCAAATAAATTAAAAGTTTTTCATTGTTAAAATCACATGAATAAAGAGGACAACATGTAAAAGTTCATGTCAAAACCCTTATCTTTCTTGGTAATTCTATTTATTGATTTTACTGTAGGGGAAAAAAAATTGGATGGATCTAAATTATGGGGAAACAATTTCAGTCTTCCCTCCCTCCAAAAAAAAGGTGAAAGGCAAAAGCTAACAATACTCTTGGAGCTGGGAGTCTGACTCAGTCTCCATTTATCTCTTTAAGTTCCCACTACAGATCATATTTCTTGTCATCAATGGCAACAAAAGGTTATTATCATTAGCACACACAAACTGTGAAAATTATCCTTCAAACTAAAACCATCTGCTTCCAAATGAGAGTCATAAAAGGTGTGATAAATTGCTAATCAGCTTCTATGAGATCGATGACTTTCTACATACTGAAAGGAAAATGTGAACATAGAATTACACTGGATAAAGTAGTATTTTGACTTGACTACTAAGCACTGCGGTGGGAGACGATGGGAATTGAGTGGATACTCCCACAGTTTCTCTATGGTTAGACAGTACAGATAGGTATGTGTTTTCAGTCAATACTGTCCATTCTGGCTCCTAAGAAAGCAGATGCCCTAAGGTCTGCTGGATTAATTTCCTACCTCCTACCTCCGTTAGCGGACAGAATATAGTGGCATGCCTATCTCTCACTCCATGCTCCAGTTACAACACGACACCAAAGAATGCTTGATGCTGCAAAAGCATATAGCCATTTCTTCAGCATGAGTCTTACCTACCAACATGTTCTAATGTTATCATCCTGAAATCAACATATCCATCTCAGATATCACTCATATGCCCTTTGATAACAAAATCATAACGCATTAGTACCTAGAATGTGGGGCTGGTGTTGTGGCATAGCAGTAAAGCTGGTGTCTGAAATGCCCAGATACCATTTAGATGCTGTCTGTGACCCAGCAGTTCCACTCAAATTCAGGTCCCTACTACTGGGTGAGAAAAGGAGAAGATGGCCCACATAGTTGGGCCCATTACCCAAAGGAAAGACCCAGATGAAACTCCAGGATCCTGACTTCACTTGCACCCAGGCTTTGCTGTTGTGGCCATATGAGGAGTGAACAAGCGGATGAAAAATACTTCTCAGTAACCCTGCCTTTCAAATTGATAAATCTTAACAAAACAAACAAACAAACATAAGAATTTACAAGTACCATGTCATTGTTACTATAGTTTCAATTTTCTCTATATTAATGTTCACTATATTCTTCCAAAGAAGAGTTAGTATTCTCGGCAAACTGAAGAGCTCTGGGCCAAAGACAATTTGTAGCAGTATTGGCAGCTACAGTAGATGAATATATCACCCATGAGGAAAACTGAACCAGTGGACTACTCTTGAAGAGCCATTATGTCCTCTAAAACATTTAAGTTTTTCTGGACCCGAAGTGGTAGCTTGGTAACTTATGTCCTTGCCTTGCATGTACCTTACACGTACCATATGGGCACCTATTCAAATCCAGGCTGCTCCACTTCCCACCCAGCTCCCTGCTTGTGACTTGGGAAAGCAGTAGAGCATGGCCTAAGGCCTTGGGACCCTGCACAACGTGGGGAGACCTGGAGCAGATTCCTAATTCCTGACCTTGGATTGTTTCAGCTCCGGCCATTGCAGCCACTTGGGGAATGACCTTCTATACTGCCTTCTCTCTGTATATCTGATTTTTCAATAAAATATTAATAAATTTTTTTAAAAACTGTTTTATCCATAAAGTAGTATCCATTACTGTAGACATAACAGACCAGATAGCTTCCAAACAACCACATACTGTTTACTGTGACCAAAGCAATGACCTATATCTTAGAGGAGAAGAGTAAGTTCTCATCAAAATTTACTTAAGAGTTTTACTATAAAACCAAAAATTTATACTATCACACACAATGCCAGTTTGTTAGCATTGTGCCAATTTTTTTTTAATTCTCTAAAGCCACAAATGCAAAATTTTCCAGAGTCCCAAATTGGTAGAAATCACTGAAGCAATAATAAAATCCATGAGATTTTTAACTGAATTTTCTGGCTTTTGCCAAACCTTTCAACCTGGGGCTGGCATAGAACAGAGGATTAAACCACTGTGTGTAACACTAACATTTCATAATAGAGTACAGATTCAAGTCCCCATCTGCTTCCAATCCAGCATCCCACAAATGAGTCCGGAAATGCAACAGATAATGACCTAGGTACCTGAATCTTTGGGAACCACGTGGATGACTTTAACAGACTTTTGTGATCCTTGCTTAGGTTTGGTCCAGCCCTCACTATTCATCCACTGGGTGATCAAAGTGGCATACCACCACCCTGCAGGTGTACATGTAAACTTCTTTCTCATTGTAACACTCCCTTTCAACTAAATAAATCTTAAAACAGAATACTGCTGGATCTAAAGTTTTTCTTTCTTTTCACAGTTACATGAAAAGCATACATTATCTTGTAAAAACTTACACCAACCACAATAACACTGAAGGTAACTGGCCATGACATCTATAATACTAAAAATACCCATTGAATAATCTGTTCACAGCCAAAGTAGGTTTCCAACAATGAGGAGTCATATTCCCTAAATATAAAATACAAACGGAAACCTTTGAGAGGTTGCTACTAAATAACAATTTCACTAACTTCAAAAGATTACTGAGGAACAATCTAAATAGGGAATTATTAGGAAGTGGGATAAAGAACAATGAAAGAGTCAATTCACAGAGATTCTATCTGTATAAGCAAAAACTAAATTAATGGTATTTTATTATTCTGGGCATATTGCCAAAAAGAGATAATTGAATATTAAGAAAATAGAAAGCACACTTGCTTTCTCAAATGAGAGAAAAATAGGTGTTACTACATGATCTAAATTGTAAAATCTGAATAGCTAAACACTCTTCAGACCAGAATTAATTAATTAACTGAAACCCAGAGATGCAGAGACAAGGCAAAGAGTCAGAGAGAAAGAGATCTTGTACCTGCTGATTCACTCCCCAAATGGCCTTAATAACCAGGGGTGGACTGGGCAAACCCAACACCAGAAGCTTTACCTGGGTCTCCCAGGTGGGTGCAGGAGACCAAGCACTAGCACCATCTTCCACTGCTTGCCCAGGCACATTAGCAGCTCAGACTGGAACCAGTGCCAATACGGCATCTCAGTGCTGCATATGGAAGCTTACATTGTGCCACAGCACCAGACCCCATACTAGAATTCAGACATAGCACACATAAAACATCAAAAGGAGCCATTATACTTGAATTAGCTTTTTTTTTTCCAAAGTATAAATATATCTGTCCTGTATCTGTTTCAGCAACATAATTGAAAGTTGTTGTTTATACAGAACAGATCATTAGAAGGACATATCACACATTAAGAGATACAATCAGGCCAGCATGATGAGGCCACCTCTTTGTGATGCACACCAGGATCACAGCGCTGCATCAAGTCCCAGATGCTATCCTTGCCATGCAAATTCCTATTGATGCTCTTGGGCTGAAGTCCTTGGGCCCTTGACACTCACTTCAGAGACCAGAATGGACTTCCTCGCTCCTAGAGCCTACCTGGCCCAGCCCAAGCTACTGCAGGCACTGAAGACTAAATTCACAGATAGATGATATCTTTTTCTCTCTTCATTCTTACCCTCTTCTTATCCTTCCTTCTCTCTGTGCCACCACACTTTTCAACAAAATATATATTTAGAAAAAAATAGAAGTATGGGAGATGAATTCTTTGTCAAACACATGTTTACCTTCCTGTCCCAAAGACAGCAAGCTTGGCTATGGAACTCTGGTTATCTAGCATACAGAGTAGTTACTGATTTTACATTTAGTGGTAAATGCGCCGGCCAATGAAATGTGACCATAATGGAACACACCACTTCTGAACAGTAGCGCCAATGGGCTACCATGTGTTTCCCATTGTGTTTTATTCTCAAGCAGACGTTTTGGAAATATTGCACAAAGGCCACTCCATCTGCATCCGGTGGAGGGAAGAGATGCAGCAATGCTGTGCTCGAAGTCTTGCAGTGGACTGTAACATGATCTCTGCTGCTGTGAACTGCTAAGATGTTACATGTGTTCTGTTAAAACAGCAAAAGTAATCCTCATCCAATTGCTGAAAAAGGTCACTGCAAGGTTTTATGAAACAATTAATGACACCTTTATAAAGTATGCAAGGTGGAGTAAAAATGAAGAAAACAGGGCTGAGGTAAGGAATATCTGCAAAGTTGACAAGCAATGGTAGCGAATTCACCATTATAGGAACGACAAACAAAAAAGACTTAGTTGGACAAAGATATCAGACAACACAAACAGGATTAAATGAGTTATCTATGATCCCACAGAATAATGATGAAACTGCATAAGTCTTAAAAAATTCAAACTAAGGAAGAAATCATTTAGGAAATAACACTTGGAAAGTTCTGGTAACTATGATTCATGCCAGAAAGTCACAGCATCCATATTAGAGCACTAAGCAGAACATACAGTGAATAAGATCAGAAAAACCAAGCACTCTTTTTCAAAAAGACTTTCAAGTCATTTAAGTTCCAGGAAAGGGACTTATCTTTATTTTCTAAATGAAAGCCATAGGCTTTCTTTTTTCCCATAGGTAAGTCCGATAGGTTGATTCAAACAGATTTCAGAATAAATTAACAAGGCTTTATAAATCTAACAATGCAAAATAAATTTATGAGGAAAAGAAATTAGTATCATTAAAATATCAGGCAATTACATGGCACATTTTGTATATGTCATTTTAAAAAAACTCAAGCTTTATGCTATAGTTCATTAATTTACAAAATAGAAATAAAGACCTACTGACAGAGTAACTCTCCAAGCAGCAGATCCAGAAATGAAGCCAAGCCCTACCTCATCAACACTGTTTAGAACTATCTCAACTTTACTTTCTTGTAATTCAATTTAACTTAGGCTTAATTTTCATGACAAATTCTCAATTCATGAGGCAAGAAATGAATTATATAAATCTGTCTTCCTGCTTTCCTGATATTTTTTGCTCTGAAAGCAACATGCCACTATTTAAAATACAAGACTGAGAAGAAAAAAAATTCAGCTACAAATTCACTCATATTTATCTCAAATGAATAAGCTATGTCCTAAAAACAACAGTCAGCTACAAAGAATTGTGTTTAAAGGCACATTAATTACTGTATACACCTCAGAACTTAATTTCTGACACAGGATTATTAAAACAGTAAATCTGCCTGAAAGAAGCTGGCACATGCTTTAGTTCCACCTTGTTAATGTCACAAGAAAGAATATCAAATGTTCAGAATCCTTAAGAGCACCCACCTCGTAAAACCACATTAATGCTTCTGCAGGTACTCTACCTAAACAACAGATAACTCTAGGTCCACTCTAGATAACAGCTGGAACTAAAGCTCAGAACAGGACAGAACTGTGGTGGAAATATCATCTTGTGTGAGTCAGGCTTGCCAACTGTAACTCAAGTATGCTAGGCAATGAGACTGGGGTGCTACCACTCCAGCCAATGGCTTGGGAAGACATGGAACGCTTTGAGAATGCCCTTAAAAGCTTTCATCATTCAAAATTACAATATGCGGACTGTGGAAAAGTGTTGGTTTTTTTGTTTTAAAGCTTTCCTTGTTCACGTTCTCAGATAAACTACCCTGTAGAAATAATTTCTGCCCTCAAAGACCTATCCCAAGCTTGGAACATTCTGCTGTATCAGAGAGTAAAGAAGTGTTCAATTACTGAAAGAAACATGGCATGAAGGGATTCCTGTGGTCCATGCTGGAAGAAGCTGAGCAACTAAAAAGACACTGATAATAATAAGTTATTATATACTGGATTAAAGAGGAATGCATGGATCAAAATCAATACATCTGGATAAAGAGCTAAATAGCTAGGCTAGAAAAAGAAAACACCAAAGGCAAAAAGAAAGAAGGTCAAAGAGGGAAATGGAGAAAATTAAATGTTCCTTCTTTTTGTTTAAAATGCTCCTTCTTACAGCAGGCTATCAACTAACACGTCGAGGAAAGCCAGCTGTATAGCACAGCGGTTCAGACACGGCCTGGGACATGTGCATTCTATATCCAAATGCTGGGTATCCAGATTCCACTACTGATCCAGCTTCCTGCTGATAAACATGCTGCACAGCAGCTGGGTCCCTCCTAGCTGCAGCCTGGTGAAACCCACCAACCGCAATCACTGGAGGAGTAGATCAGTACGTGAGATGTTTCTCTCTTCCCCTGAATCTCTTTCTTTCAAATCTGGTTTTAATTTTAGGTAGGTAAAATGGCGGCTTTTGAAATCATGATTACAGTTATAATGGTAATACTTGAATTAGGCCAGGATTATCAAAAGAAGCTCAAATATATTGGTGAATTTGATGAGAAACATGATAATTACACACACTCATTGTATTTGGCAACATAATACTTACTAATTACAAAAATCATAGCTAAAAACTTTTAGCTTGGCAGATCACTCCAATCAAGTGATCCAACACGTTACTAACACTGTAGTGGAACCCCTCCCTACTCGATCCCAAATGCTTTTCAGACTTGAACAGTGTCTGCTTGGCTTGCAAGTCCTCTTCCTCCACTGTGTTAACTGTGAATAACTCCTTACTAATGACTGACTCACTCTAATTATGAGAATGGTATATGGGCTAGGCAGGCTTCACAAGGTGCCAGCTAAGTGATTCTGAATTCAATTAGCCCTGCTTTGCCAACATTTTAACACTAGACTCCGTTTTTAAACACATCTTAGGAACCCAGGCCTAATGAAACAATGTACCCACAGAATCCAAACAGATGACAATCCAACTTGCCATGGGCCGCATTCTCAAACTCTCCCCCAAAGAAAACAACCAGCACTATGTAACAACCAGACATCCAAGCATTAACTGATCACAGCATGCTCAATCCCAACTCCATGATACATCTGATTATTTTTGAGTCTAAGAATCCAGTAATATCTACCTAATTCCTTCCTATGCAAACTGCAAAACACGTACCTACTTTTTCCCCTCCACCCAGTGTCAGTGCTTAGCTTGTTGTACCAGATGGAAGTGAACACCAATTATTTGGGACTCAGCATCAAATGTTTCCTAATATAACACACTGAGAACAAAACACCACTACTATGATATTCCTACTAAGAAGCATAACTTGAATCTAATCATCACAACAGTCAAATGTTGCCCCAACTTAATAAAAAATGGCAATCTCAAAAAAAGAAAAAGAAGGCTGGGTTTTGATGCAGTTGTTGAGGTCCCAGTACAAGAGAGTAACGTGGTTTAAATTACGATTCTGTTTTTAATTCCAGCCTCCTGTTATGAGCACCCTACAGGATAGCTCAAGTGATTGCACCCCTGTCATCCACTTGGGAGGATCACCAGATCTTGGCTTTGATTTGGCACCGTTGTAGCTCTTTCAGGCACTTGGGGAGTGACCCTGATGACAGGAAATTTGTTTGTCATTCTCTCTGTCCCTCTGTGCTTCAAATAAATGAAAATAAACAGAGTTAAGAGGGGAGAAGGGAGTAGAAGAAGGGAGGGAAGGAGCAAGCTAAGGAAATGTTCTGATTTTAAAACAATATGAAAAGAAAAGATAATGGGTCACCGTGAATTGCCTCCCCAAGAAGTGAAAATACAAAAGATGCGACCAGAACAACTGGCAACATCTGAGCTACAGATTACACTTGCATTTGAAAATTCCTAATTGTTCTGTGCTTACATGAGAGCGGATCCTTGTCCATAAGAAATATACTTGAAATATACACCTAAATACTTAGGAGGAAGAGAGTGCATTAACCTTGAGTCTGCAAATAGTTTGGGGAATAAATTTTGAGCATACCCACACTAGTGGGGGGACAGGGTTAGATGGGAATTCACTGTACTATTCCTAACACTTCTGAGCTTGAAATTCTATCAATGGATAAAGAAGTAACCAATTTTCACAATGTAATTTTCATGCTAACCATAGATGAGTGCATGTGGGAACCTTCCAAGGATCTGGCAGTGGACTCTGTCGTGTGTTCCTTCTCTTACCTTTCTAACAGATTGTGGATCGCTTTGAAGAGCAGCGTCCTACATTCATAGGAAAGGCCATTTTCCCAGAGTCCTTCTTCCACAACTGAAAAAACAAAAAAGAAAAAAGAAAAAAAAAGAACCAGTAAAAAGGACATCCAAATAAAAATAAAGAAACTTTTAAAACATTTTTTCTAAAGAAAAGTTAATGTTAATTTATTTAATTGCAATCTCACAATGTCATATTTGCCCAAAGTTATGAAATAGTTATGTATAAAAGAAACTTTCTTTTAAAACTATGTGAAACATGAGTGACGCAATCCCTTCCCATTAAAGTTTTCTCAATCTATTCTTTCAGATATTAAAATCACTTAAAATTCTCCAATCAATCTTTCTACCTTAAAGTGCTACCAAGACTACATTTATTAAAGGAAGCAAGAATGTTACACAAACACCAGAGATATGTGTTTTCAAAGAGATTATCAAGAGGAAAATTTTCCAAAAGTGTCAAAGTTGCTTTTCTTTAAATGTTTTGAAGATCATATCTGAGTAGACTTTTTGAAGGTATGGCTTTGGGAAGACTATCAGAAAAGTTAACTCTTACTATGACATCAAATTTATTTCTTGAATTCAGCCAATTTGGCTAAGGTTTGATATTCTGGAAAACAACATATTTGCCTTTGAAGTACATACTGGGCTGCAAGTGGCTCTAACACCAGAAGAATCTAATATACTAGCGAATTCTCCGTGCATTCCTAAAATTCTTCCTTCTCATAAACACAGAAACAGTTATAAGCTTTCCTAAAGTAAGACACTCTCCTTTTAAATAATAAAAAATTCAATGCAAAAGAGCAGAAACAAAAAACCCTGATGAAAGGATGAAAACAATATTTGCACAAGAAAATTTCCTCTTCTAAACAACAAAAAAACCCGTCAGAATTAAAATACAACTAAAATACATAACATGTCCTGCACACCCTACATCTGCATGTTTCAAAAATACGTCTATATTTATTTTCCGAAGGTTGTTTTAAAAAATTATGAACTTAAATACATATTTGCTCTACCATGGCAGATAACTTTACTGTCCTGCCTAAGTGGCTATTCCTGATATGTGCAATTATACTGATGACTGCAGAAATGAAGGATAGTCAGCTGACACTTCTCTAGCAAACACTGCTCAAGACCAAACACTCAAAAGCATTCTACACTCCTCTGAAAGCATATTACTCATCTTGTCAAACACTGGGAGAGAGCCCTTCCTGAGTCTGAGATATAACAGCCCAACACAATCGACACCCCATATTAATTTGCTCTCTAACATGTTTCACTGCCCACTCTCTCACCGATCACCGAGAAAGGTGTAGACGGTGACAAGAGAAAATATCGCTTTTATCACTTCCAACTTTTACAAGGGCTCCTTTAGAGATACTGACAGGTTCACCACTTTCACTATGGTAAATACTTAAAACTCAAAACACATTGCAAAATAAATTAGTGGGAAGTTCCTAAAATGATATGAATATTGCAAATACATCTCTTCTGAACTACTCCTCAGCTTGGCTACTGCTTTTTATGCAAGGTAAGTCTTTATGTGACCAAGAATGTTGCTGATGCAGCATTTGTACAAGTGTCGCAGTTTTATTTTCAGGACTTGTTCTTCCAGGTTTATATCACCTCCTCAGCGTGTTATTTAAAAATTCACCTCAGAATGCAGCACATTTTTTAAAAATCATTTCAAAAGAGTAAGCATTAAGACTTTAACTCAAATTATCAAATACTATGGATCTTTATCAAGTATTTTTTGTTTCTCAATACATGCTTTATAACAAACCCTACTTCTAAACAATTTGGTATACAGCGAAATCAGAATCTAAATAATGTCTATGATATATGTCACTTAAATCTCCTTTAATATAAAATAACCCATCTCTTTTTGTCTTGCTTTTAAATGTACTCATTGTTTTAAAAAGATTTATTTTTATTCAAAGGTTAGATACAGAGAGGAGGAAAGACACAGAGAAAGAGCTTCTGTCCACTGATTCACTCCTCAAGCGTCCACGACAGCCGGAGCTGCACTGATCTGAAGCCACCAACCAGGAACCTCTTCCGGGTCTCCCACACTGGTACAGTGTCCCAAAGCTTTGGGCCGTCCTCCACCGACTTCCCAGGCCACAAGAAAGGAGATGAAAGGCAAGCAGGATAGCCAGGAAATGAAATGGCACCCATATGGGATCCTGGTGTTTACAAGGCAAGGACTTTAGCCACCAGGCTACCATGCTGGACCCTAAATGCACACTTGCTTTTGTCAAGAAACAAGATTACTGATCCTATAGAATATCACATATTCACATTTAATTTTCAGCTTTAATATCAGCATTGCTTTGACCTTATCAGAAGATAGCAAACTAACATTTTTAGCCAACAACTAAACTTTCTTCTTCCTCAAAGGATCCGAAATATTATATTAACAGATAAAGGTGTTATAGCTGCCCAGTCATGCCATATACATCACCGAAACAGCCTGTGCACTCGAGGTAATACCAGCTTCATCATATCTGCTGTATGCCAGGCACAATTGTACAAGTTCATCCTGATTTCAAAGATTTTACAATGACTTCTCCTTTTTTAAAGATTTACTTACTTTTGTTGGTAAGTCAGATACACAGAGAGGAGGAGAGACAGAGAGGAAGATCATTCATCTGCTGATCCACTCCCCAGGTGGCCACAACAGCCAGGGCTGAACCAATTCGAAGCCAGGAGCCAGGAGCCAGGAGCTTCTTCCAGGTCTCCCACGCGGTTACAGGGTCCCAAGGCTTTGAGCCATCCTTATTTGTGGGTAAAAGAATGACAGAGGGCCCGAAGCCATGGCCTAGCAGCTAAAGTCTTTGCCTTGATCATGCCGGGATCCCATATGGGCACCAGTTCTAATCCCAACAGCCCCGCTCCCTAACCAGCTCCCTGCTTGAGGCCTGGGAAAGCAGTGGAGGACGGCGCAAAGCCTTGAGACCCTGCAACCATGTGGGAGACTCAGAAGAGCTCCTGGCTCTGGATCAGTTTAGCTCCGGCCATTGTGGTCACTTGTGGAGTGAATCATGGGACGGAAAATATTTCTATCTCTTCTCTCTCTCTCTCTCTCTCTCTCTCTCTCTCTCTCTCTGTATATATGTATACATGTATATACATATATATACACACACATATGTATATGTATATATGTATAACTTTGCAATAAAAACAAATAAATATTTTTAAAAAAGAATGACAGAATTAGCCAAAAGAATTTTTTTAAGTATACATTTTCCTATTATTCTTACGACCAGATTAAAAATAAAAGTATCAGCTCAACTGCCTATTAAAAAAAATATTTTGGCATTAACAATCTCTCTCAAACTGTAAAAACTATAATCAGAAATTGTTTAACTTGTTATTATTCAACCCTTTTAAAACAGTAATCTCTCAAAATCAAATATTTAAACTACAAAAGTACTATATATTCTTTTAGCAGAAGACACAGTGTTTTATAAAGAAAATTTCTAAATAGAAGTAATTACTGCTTAGTGCCCAAATATTTCAAAATCCTAACAAATTGCAATATAACTTCTTTCAACTTTACAAAACAGGGCTCCTTGCTGAATTAATAAGCATCTTTAAAAGAAAACCCATATAAAAGGTTCTGGGGGAGTCAATATGGCAAACTATCAAAGCAATGCATACTTCAATGATTTTGTGTTTCCCAGCAGAGATCTTGGAAAGATGTCCCTTCCAATTGCACAAATGAAACTGACATACTTCACTTGAAGGGGAAAAAAACTGGGGGAGGGAGACTGGAGTAGGGCAGGGAGGAGCATAAAGATTGTGAAACCCTGAAGAAATCCAAGCTCACGCTTTTAGAATTCAGGTCATCCCGCCTAGCACAGTTTAAAAGTAGAATTACTTTCAAAGAATACATATTTCCTCTGAGCCATGATACATATTTCCTTTTAATATATCATATTGCAGCAACAGCTAAAATGAATGTCTAGACATCAAAAACACTTCTTACTCCCACCTACTGTTTTTTTACCTCAGGCATCAGAACTAATGAAACCTATTATCCAGAACATTGAGTTCAGCAACCACATTGGCCACTGCAAATACTGCAAGCGGGAGGGGCACTTTAGGGGATGACACTCTTATTCACCCATTAAAAATTACTGAGAATCAAATTCTGCTCCAAACTACAGAAACACAAATAGATTAAAACAAGACACATGAAACGACGAGCCTGTTCCCCAGTTAGACTTCAGTGACAAACCGCTGAAGGGGGCACAGCTCTGCCTTTATCATTTGCCCACTGCCTTTGCTTTCCACCTCTACATTCAAAAAAATTGTTTAAATTGTTTCAAAAAATTTTAATCATTCAGTTTACTTCCTAAGAACTATCACAGAAGATGCTGCTAGGAGAAATCACACAGGAATTTTATGGATCATACCAAATGACATAATATTTTCATAGAATTTAAGTTAAAATTAGGAATAATTTCTGAAAAACTGACTTACAAAGTGGCATTATTTCTGAAAAATAACAGTGTACCCACAACAATTCAATTACATACAACACCACTGGCTGATCACAGTTATGCTGCCATCAAGTGCTTATAAACTCTGTATCTGAAATTATTAATAACTAAAGAAACGTACTACTTCTATCAAGTTCAACCACTCAGAGCTCTGATTATTTTAATTGCTTGTGCAGTATGGAGCATTTTATTTCACTTAACAATATTTCACTTAACAATGTTGAAATTGTATTTAAATTTCCCAATATACAAATTCATCAAATATGATATACAAGAAAATAAAATAGAGGCATGTATCAAAATGGTCCATTTGTTCAGACCTAATTGCAAATTTAATAATTACACAAATATTGAAAGTGTCCATGAGACAGAGGCATAGCTGTGTTTCCAAACTGTAGCAGTATACTGTCCTCCTGAGGAATCTCGCACAGCACGAGCAGCATGGGCCTTGGCCAGCTGCAGGATCACCGGAATCTTAATGACAGCGTCTACACAGCATTGTAGCAATGGAGACATGACCCAACTTAGCATTTCAATGGATCAC